ACTTGGAGCGGATCAGCCAGCTCTCGCTCACATAAGCTGGAGCTGTCTACCAGGTTTTTGATTGAGCTCTCGCGAACTGTGAAGCTGGAGTTATCACCCACCTAATGCTGACTACATCTTTGACTAAAGAGAAACTCAAGATTTCCACAAATTTGCGAACACAATCTCCTCAACGTAATACTAATTCTGAAGTAAAACCACTCCAATACGTGACTCATTTACGTCTAGCTAAGAAAAATAGTCCATTCTTACTTCCTAAATGAAAACAGAAGTACATGCATCTTATGTTACCCGTACTCGAGTATTTCGTATCACATCCAGCACCAGTTTGTACATGACGTACGAGTAACGTTCTTAGCACAGCTTTGCAGGTTACGCCTAAAAGTCCTTGAAAAGCTATGACGACTAACGCTAGACATCTCTTGAACAGTTAACGATACCCGACCCCCCCCCCCCCCCCAAACAGCTATTGAAGAGCAACCAGAACTATCCCAAAACAGTTCTTTGAAAAATTAATGATATTAAACCTCTATAGCTCTTGAGGACTTATAGTTACTTGATAGGATGGGTCTTGACGACCTACGGTACCCTCATAGAATAGGTCTTGAGAACCTACGGACACCCTCGAATAGCCGTCAAAAATTTACCCATGGTAACCTTAGGTATTCCTTAGAAAGTTGTGTGTGAGATTTCTATATAACCGTTAAAATGTCAGAAGTACGACCCATACTTGAATAGTAATTAGTTGAGTAGTAATGAATTAATTATTAACTAATTAGGTAATATGTAATGCTGGTAACCTATGTTCACCTTTGGAAAGATCTGTGTGTGTAAATAATAAAACATGGATCTCGAATAAGTGATAAAATGTGGATGCGTAAGTAAACTCGAATTTTCGAGTTTACGTGTCGAGCTCACCTTTTTTTTGACCCATACTTCAAACTTTAACTTTGAAAACATTAACGCTGCAATAATATATTTTTGTCAGTTTTTATATACCACTCTTTGTAGCAGCCGATTACAAAGAATATTGCAAAATTCACCATTTGTTGTGCTAGATAAATGTTATATCGTATCTAAACTATGATTTCTGATGGAAAGATTCCAAGATGTTACATCGCTCATATTGCAGTCCAAATAAAGAGATGTATCAAATTATAGACTTCACATCCTGAAAAATCTGATCCTAATGTTATTAGGCAGAGAATCAGCAATGAGTCCTGATTATTTTTTACAACATTATTTTGTATTTTACTACAACTCAATTTTTTCACATCTGGGATTCTCTTAGGTATTGAAAAAAACCTTTTATCCTCATTCTATTAAAAATCTTTTTATTAGCACCATAGAGTTGATTGCATTCATTGCAAATGTAGAATTTTTTTCAAACGAAGTAAAATAATGAGAAAGATTTCAAGCATTTTCTGAAAGCCCTAAAATTCAATTTATTATCTGAAAGTCCATTAAAATTCGATTGAGACTCGTTGAAAATAGTTTCATTCGATGCAGAATGTTTCCCTCTATCAGAATTTGTAAGAACTTCTCGAACATTCAAGTCATTCTCTATCGGTAAATGTCAAAAACTGCTCCTATTGGATTATAATCCTGTAAATAATGATGTCTTCAGAGTTACAAAACTATAGTTCGTATAGATGCATCAGTGAGATTCTTTTTATCGCATATGTAAGTTCAATATGCTCTTATTGATAACACCATTTTCAACTTGCAATTTGATGCTGACTAAAGCGCTTTTGCTCTAACCACTATACTTGAAAGCTAATTGATGTCTTTTTTGCGTAGTATTCGACGGTTTTCGAACAAAAGAAAATTCGTTTGACTTCAAACAGACACCATCTATGGACTCAGCACAAAAAGCTGAGTCGGTTTATTTGTGTTTCAAATTGTTTCTGCAATTTTCGCTTTTTGGTCAGATTTTGAACCATGGTCTCTGTCAATGATATGTCCAAAAATAAAGTTCTGAACTTGTAAAATAATATTTGAATTCAAAAGCATAGATTATTAAACATTGAAATAGTTGTTTTGATGGAATTCGTTTTGCGACATATCCTTAAGAGGGCCAGTGGTCAAAACTAGACCGAAAAGCGAAAGTAGCAGAAACAATTTACAATACATAAACCGATCCATTTTTATGCTAATTCCAAATATAAAATTTGTTTGAAGTCAAACGGGGATTATTCGGTTCAAAAGCATCGAATATCTATCAAAAACGACATAGATAGCGTCTGAACAATAGTGATTACAGGAAAAGTGCTTTACTCAACACCAAATTTCACGTTGAAAATTATATCAACAAAAAGAGCACGTTGAATTACATATGCGATAAAAAAAATTCGCTAGTGCATCTATAGAAACTAAAGCTTCGTAAGACTAAAGAAATTATTGTTTTTAACAACATGATTCCATCGAAACAGTATGTGACAGTTATCGATAGAGAATGACTTGACTATCTAAGAAGTTTTTACAGATTCTGATAGAGGGAAATATTCTGCACCGAAGAAACCTATTTTCAACAAATCTAAAGCGAATTCTAATGAAAAATTGTAAAGCAATATGAACGTGACATTCGAAATCACCTTGACGAGCTCGGTTGAGTCAAATACATTTGAATGAAATATTTTTCCTATGATAAAATCATCTTTAGTTCTCTACTGCTGTACTTTATTAAAGTTTTGCCTCGTAGACACCCAGGAGCTAATTTTTCACAGGAAAAAGGTGTTCCTAAACTGTGTTCGACTAAATGTAGTTTTTGAAGGTGATTTCAAAGGTTACATTCATGTTGCTTTACAATCGTCTTATGGCAAGAAAACTGCTAAAAATTGTTTTCTTTTTCTGTTGAAAAAACTGTCAAAAATCATATGTAAGAGAAAGACGTAAACTCCGTCTTATTACGAAGGTAAACCTTTTCTTTGAATATTTTTTTTCTATTTTGTAGAATACGAAAAGTTACATAACATATATAAAATTCAGTCTGTCATTTTTTAATTTCAGAAAATGGCAATAGATATATTATTAAAAATCTATTATTATCGACATGTAAATTAAGACCTATTTCACTCATGTCCGAATATATAACCTCAGTAAATAAATCATATACAGGATTTGAAATTGCTCATTTTATTTAGGTTTTCATATTCTGTCTTTTGAATATCCCATGAAAAATTCTCTAACTCTTTCAAGTATAATCCAAGTAGACATTTATGCGTTAATTTATGACTATTTTCTGGATATTAGGTAACTGGCGTTAAAAACTTGATTTACAATAGAACATTCAAATGAGTTAAATATTTGGGTTGAATGATTTCAGATGATCGCCTTTTGAATGCATAGAAAATATGAAAAATTTAAGTTTTGACCAATGTCTCGATTTCTTAGTCTTCTCCTGAATTCTTTCTTAATAAACCGATCCGAGATTAGAATTCTTCGACCTCCATTACCTTTGGTCAAACGTCACTAAAAATGATTATTTCCTGGGAAATATTCTTCTCATATCGAGAGCTCGGTGTGACAAATTTTCAGTTACTCGTTATCTGGTAAGGTAATGATATATTTTCTCCCCTAGATTAAAGTACTAGTTTAGAAAGTTAACTTAATATTTAAATCGGATCAAAAGTCTAACAATTCTATACTATTATGATATAGAGCCATTGAAGTTTGATTGAACAAACTGTGGTACGATATCGATCAGTTCGATATTTGTGATATTTGATAGATACTTTAAGATACTTTATGACACTTAAACGTACTTTAAAGTATAAAAGTATGATGTTTTTCCATTGGAGAGACCCCAGATATGACAAACGGAATTGTGATAAGATACAAAATAAACTCGTGAAAAATAATCAGGACCCAATGCTGATTGTCAGGATGATACAATTAGGTTGAGATTCCTTGGGACGTTTGGTCCGTAATTTGACATAGGCATTTTACTTGAAAATTTGTGAATATCTTTCCATTGATATGTCGATAATATCTCAGTACTTATAGTAGGTCTCTAGAAATTTTCCTACTCTGTTTTCGATAATTTCTGAGTTTTATTGTAATTCTTTTATAAACTGCCGCCTCTTCTATTTGAGAGTTGCAACATGGCGGAGAATTTTCTTTCTCTGTAGTTAGTAATTTCGAAAATATGATAGTAAGTTGCTTTTTGTGTATTAATATATTATGTAAAATGACTTAATAAGAATGACATTTCGGAAATCTGAATACTATCCAGGCAGAAAAGACTTCCAGAAAACACATTTAAACGCCAAAAAATTGCCTTTCTTTGGAAGTTTAAATGCATGTCTGATTAAATCGTTGGTGAAAATCCCCAGAAAGAGTACATTTAAAGCATGTGTACGTACATATTTTACATTACCATGGTTTGTATAGGTTTACACGTACAGAATGTCAATTATATAAACGTTTACGTTCACTACTGTCCATATGCATGTAAACGCTTAAAAAACGCAACTTTTTAAGGATTCACATGCGTGTTCCGATATTTTCTTCTGCTCGTAGGACAGTGAAAATGTCGTGAAAAAAGTTGGATTTTGGAAAATTGATTATTTTCACGACTTTTTTTTCAGCCATATTGTGCTGATCATTGGAAACCGCAATTGGCATCCAAAAACGCCCAATTTTTTTGTGCATTTACATGCATTTTGAGAAATATTCATTTGTTCGGCTACTGGTATGAATGCATTCGTTTAGATTTCCGTTAAAAATCCTTTTCTAGCACATCGTACAATTTTATCAGATCGCTATAGGAAAATTGTGCAATTAACTTTATTTCTAAAACGAAGAAATAAAAAATCTAGTAAGTACGTTCATAGAATATATTCACTTTTTTCATGACAGTTTCTATAAAGAAATCTTGAGAGAACATTTTCATATTAAAAGGAACTATCTCATTGATCTAATTAATTAATGTATATAATCTGTTACTCATTTTTTTTATTTTTAGTTTTGACACTAATTAAATGTTGACTAATTAAAAAATGAATCAAAATGAAGAACAGCATCACGTTATAAAATACATTCTTGACAAATTAGAAAAGTATGCTCATAAATCTGATCTCTGGCGTTTAATTCATGCTTCACATCTTCGTCGGAATCTTCTTCGACGATCTGAACGTGTTTCAAAGATATATTCGATATCAGAAGATCTTGTTCGTCAATGTATCAATCAGATTTTTGCTGATGTTGATCAATACGTAACGCAACTTCATCGATTGATTTATTCTCAACAATTTGACGATTTAATACCAATCTTTAGTAACGCAAATAAAAAGAATACTCTATGGCATACAATGCAAATAGAACGTGCTCGACATTTGTGTCTAACTCAAGAACAACTGACCGAGAATGAACTATTGGAAAATTATTATACATATATTCGAGAAAAATTAACACCAAAGAACAATATATTGAATGAAAATCAAAAATGCCAATTTCGTGATAGTTCATTTGATTTAAATCTCGCTTATACCCAAGCTGAAAGTAAAGCAAAAGAGTATCTAAACAATGTTATAGGAAACTTTCGAAAAAGGAAGACACCCGATCTAAAAATCATCGATGAAATGATCAAACTAGGTAAATACATGTAACTATATTATATAATTCTACCATTAAGATGATTATCTTTCTTTTAATATTGAATAGGAATAGATAATATGAAAAAGATTCCATCGAAAGAAGATTTTCAAACAAGTAATAATTTCTTAGGAAGAGTATTAATTTTTCATCAAATCAAAGAAGCATATAAAAGTCTTTTACAAAATACAAGCGATGATTTTATGCTCCTTCGCTTTGGCAAAACGTTCGGACACAATGCATTACAAAGTACACAACAAGTTGATAAACAATTTTTTTATCTTTTGCATTTGTTCCTGAAGTCAGTAGCAATCTTGTTTATCTCACTAACAACAACTACAAAGGATAATACGATATCATCGATTTCGAAAATAGCTTCTCTTTGTTTTTTTGAATGTGATTCTTCAATAATCAAACTAAATATGGATCTATTTTCTCCAGAAACAAATATTGATCAATGGACCTGGTTGTTAGAACAATGGCGTGATATGTTAAGAACCATGCCTATGATATGTACACAAGCTGGAGCTTTTAGTCGTCTTGTTCGTACAACGATTGGTATTGGACTTATGTATCTCGGGAAATCTGCTGAAACAATGGTCACAACTGGTTGTTTACCGATGAATACTGAACTGATCAATGAACAATTATTTAATGCTCTTCAAATAGGCTTTTATTTTGGTGTTGCATATGCTCTAGTCGATTGTTTACAAGATGAAATTCATAATTTGGATAATATACCATTACATCATTTCCTCATCTTTGATAATGATACCAACCACCTATTGACACCAGTTGAAACAATAGATAAGTGGCTTTATATTATGGAACAATTCTTAAGTGGCACAAATTTTGATCGAAGTCAATTACCAAAGACTCCATTCACATCAATGCTTATTGAATCCTTTGATAATCTTTTGATATTGACAAAATCAAATAATATAATGTATGAATCTTTCAATGAATTGGCTCTTCTCTTGCGTTCGCAGCGGATTGATAAAAAAGAAATTGATCAATATTACGATGACGAGCAACTATATCTCGGTTAGTTATTATATATGTATCATTTTTCGAAGAAGAATATTGTTTAATAATTTAGGATCTGTTCTCAAGTCACATTTTACTTATACATGCACAACTCATCTCGCTGATATGAGTACAGCACGTGAAGAAAGTGAACATCTTTGGATAATACCATTTTTAGGACAATTGACAGACGATTGTAGAGATTTTAATGATGATATTAAATCAAAATCGGTCACTCCTTTTACATACTATGCATCATTAATCAGACATAAACAACCAATTGCTAATAGTTTACTTAATCCATTTAATACATTCCTCAATCTTTGCTCAGATATATATTTATCAAGCAATCGTGATAGTCAAACAGGTGCGTTTCTAGGTCGTCGTATTGCTCGGGCATTGCGTTCAATTGAGGTGACTGGTGGTGAAACATCATTTATTCAGTTTCTTAATATATTTTGTTCGGACAACAGACTCTTGTATGATTATTGTTGGCATAAACTGCGTAAACAATTTCCTATAATTACTGATCCTGAAAAAACCTTTTTCCGATTATTAGATGCTTCGAGTATTAAATATGCACGAATAAACCGAAAATTAGAAACATATGTATGTGAAAATATAATAAAAATAGAGGATGCATTAAATATTCTCCCATTACATAGTCAAGGTGAAACTATTGTCGAGGAAGAAGTTTTAATATCAGCAATGAATTATAGTGTCAAAGTTGGCGGTAAACGTTTAAGACCATTATTAATGCAAATGGTTGCTGACTTGTACGAAATTGAACCAAGTCAAATATTACCTTTGACTTGTGGCATTGAATATTTGCATACATCATCATTAATATTTGATGATCTTCCTGCTCAAGATAATAGCGATTTACGACGAGGTCAACCATCTCTTCATAAAACAATAATTAATAATGATATACCATTTAATTTATGCGAAGGTCGAGCTCAATTGGCCGCTGTTGATCTTATCGCAATTAGTATGGGTTTAATTAATCATGGTCTTATCAGAAACGGATTTTTACCTGAATGTGTCAATCGAGTTGTTAGCGAAATATCTATGTTGATGCATGATCTTTGCATAGGACAAATGATGGATTTACGTGCAGCACGTGTCGGTATTGGGCAAGATAATAGACAAATTGATAAACTTGATCGAATTGCTTGGTTTAAGACGGGTAAGACAATTGAAGCAGTTATGATCATGCCGGTTATTCTTGCCAATCCACCATCAGATGAACAGACTAAGGAATTGTTGCATATTCGAGAATTGAGTCGTTTAATGGGTATTATGTTTCAAATGCGCGATGATTTGTTAGATGTTGAAGGAGGTGACGCTATTGGAAAGCCAACATTACTTGATGTTAAAAACAATACAGTTACATATGTATCACTACTTGGTATTGATGCTACTCGACATCGTCTTCGACAATTTTTAACTCAAGCGTTACAACTAGTAGACGATTGTTGGCCAATAGGCTCAGAAACAATTAAAGATGTTATTAAATATATTGTTGCACGAAAAACTTGACTTTATTTATCCGTCTCATTTTATTTTTAAAGACATCTTGTCTAATTTATCTTGATGGTAATTAAGTGTGTCTCATACGAGTGCGCGTTACTTATTAAACAATTATAATAAAAGTTTCAAGACTATAAATCTAATCTTGTAGAGATTCCTTAATTGAATTTTCTCACATCATTTTTACTCGTAGAATTATTCTATAATAGTCAAAAATTGATACTTCATTTTATTTGAATCTATTCGATCGAATTTCAACAGTAAAGTCTAAAACTTACGAGCAACGCAACCTTACAAATAGTCAAGATTCTAACAGACTCATTAAAAATGTATCAACTTTTTTGTAGCATAAGTTTTTTCAAAAGAATGACATACAATTAAATTTATTTCGATTTTTTTTACTTCTATTACCCGATGAAGTTGAATCAGGGTGTAGATAGAGTTCTATTCTACCTTCATGGATCAGGCTAAACTTGTTTTAAGCATACTTATACAGGTCAGGTTACAAGGACAAGTAGACAAAAATAATTAATCTGCAAGAAAAAAAACATGTATTACATCAACAACTATACGAGATCTATAAAATGAGAAAATCGGTCCACTAACAATTGAATAATGTTGATAGTCAATGTCTCCGATATAAACAGCAATCATATTATTCAAACTTTCCCAAATGTAGCTACTCAAGTGAGTATACGATTTCTTAGTCTTGGCGCTTTTGATTAATCTTTTTCTTTCCTAGGATAAACAATATCATTCCTCGAATAACATGATCAACAGTTAATTATATTTTTTAAGAAAAATATTGGCTTATTTTCTTCGAACTACTTCTATTAACCAAATAGTCGTTCGATGTACTTGTCAATGGTGCTACATCGAAATGTACGTTCACTTTGTCATACTTAATTTTAGATAAATGATCATAATTGTTAAATCCTAATATTTTTATCAATATTCTGATGATTACAATTACTCAAAATATCTACGCTTTCGTTTTTAGTAGTTTTTCGTTCGAAAAATCAAATTGACATTCAAGATCGACTATAAGAACTTGTTCTAAATTATTTTCAGAATGAATACGAAGATACAAAAAACTATCCAATAAGAAAGACTGATCAATTGCGATTTACTATTATGAATTAATATTTCCCATCATTCTATTCGAATAGTAAATAACTGAAAATAGTAGCAGCTCACAGCTTTTACATATAAAATGCACACTTATCAGTTAATCGTCCTGTTTTTATTTGAAATAGATAGTAGAATGAAGATGATTTAGCGTAGTATCTTTATGATACTCTGAATTTTTTTATTTTAAGAATTTATTTTCTTCAACTAGTAAAAAATACAAAATGATTTTATCAAAAGACATGGGACCAGAAAAAAAACATCCAGCATTACTTCGATAAAGTGCTTTTATTTAGCTAGTCTCTTTTCTCAACATTAGTACTTGACCTGCATGAGCGATATTGACTACGATAGATTGAGGAAGATAGAATGGTTCACCGTCCATATGTACCGGCATCGAACGAATTAGTTCGATACGAACTTCACTGCATTGAGCAATGCGATGACCTCGAAAGCCAATATGAATTAAGGCCATCTGCATCGAGTCTAATCCGAGTACTTCAATTTTTCGTTCACTAATATCCTGTTTTCCAATTTGTTCAGTATTGGTAGATGATGTAGTTGATATGATGGTATTGAATGTATATGACGTTGTAAATCTGCTATCTTTTGGAATGTAATCAGATGAATCAGGGCTTTGAAATGTACTCGACCTGATCTGATCAAATCTATCAGTTTGATTTCGAATAGTGGTTGATGATATTCTACTCCAAGGATGAGTTCCTGATCCATATCTTGGAATATTCAATAGAACAACAGTATAACAATGGCGTATTGAATTGGTCACGTTTTCACCATCACAAAACAGTCGCATGTATGGCGTTAAATTCCATGCTCTCCACAAGGCAAACTCTCGAACATATTTTCGACTAGTGTTCGGATAAATAAGCTTATTTTTGAATGGTGACGTAAATTTCGACGAATGACGGATTCGTCTGTCATGAAAATCAAGTACAACAGCTGCATCTAGTCCAAAACTTATGTAATTAGTAAAGCGAACATTGAGAGAAGCTCGATAATTTTGATAAGATGACCGATCAGTTTCACGCACAAACTTTGGATGATCCAGAAAATATGATAAACATCGACGTAGATTTTGAGATTCTTCGATAGGATTTGTTATTGCTAATTGTTCAAAAGTGATTTGCCAGCGATCGAGCACAATTGGTTGCGCATTGGGAATTTGCTGCAGCATAGTTACGAGTCGTTTCTTGTTGTAATACCGACCCCAACCCAATACACGTGAGAGATCGTTGCCTGTACCTAAAGGACAAATACTTACCGGTGGATTATTCAATGATGTATACATATCTGCAAGAACACTGAGTATCCATCCAATAGTACCGTCACCACCACAAATGTTGATACGAGTGTTGCGCAAGGATGCATAAATACTGAGAGCTTGCTTTACAGTTGTATCATTTTCGAGCAGAAAAATTTGACGTGGATTTAATAATGAAATAAGTTGACGATAGATAGTTTCCCCTTTTTGACCACCTGAAAGTTTGTTTATAAAGACAATTAGAGGTGTCAATAAAGAGTTGCTCTCATCAATATCATCGGAAAATCGGACCTGAAAACGTGATGGAGAGCTACTCACACGATGTAACCATTGCGGACGAATAATGATGTTTCTGTAAGAACAAGCGCAACGAAAAAGTTGAAATTTATCTGACAATTGAACTTACTTAAATTTGCCGTAATCACATTTGTTCTGATCATCATCATGGTTGATGCTTTCCAAGCATCGAAGATGGCAACCGCTTGAACACCATAGACATACGAGACCGCTTGAAGGCTTAAGTAGTTTTGAATCTGAACTTTTCATTATGTGGATTGATTTCGTGCTAATATGGGACGTATGAGACTTTGTTGGAATAATCAAACTTTTTTCATTGTCAAGAGTAACCTTTCGTAGCATATTTTTTCGTTTGCGTCGTATACATGGCTTCACGAGTGTTGGAATGAACGATCAGTGATGTCGATCACGTTCCCTGTAGTCATCTGCTATAGTGCTGTCAGAAAATGATGGACGGCAAGATGGAATGTAATTATGAATATCGGCCGTTTTTTGCAAGTCATTGATATGATCTTTGTGGATGGATATACTGTACACGAACCACATTGAACGCATGTATCAGCACTAATCGGTTGAGCGATTGTACATGATACATAGGCACACGAAGAAACGCTGAAAGAAATGTTTGACCAATAAGGAAGCCAGCAGTGAGAAGTAGAATGAGGTTTGTCACTCCAATCGACACCAAATGACCAAGAAGACTCAGACACTACCAGAGATGGTGATGTTGTGAATTTTCTATGAGAGAAAGTAGATAAATGAGAAAATCTAATGTTTTAGGTCTAGACTAAAGACAATCACGTGACAAGATACTGATGTTTAAATATGTGCTTGATGTTATTTACAGATTAAGACATATATTTATATAGAATTTCAAAGAATTTTTTAAGTTTAAAATTATTTGTTTTTAGAATTGAGAAGACTACAAACTATAAATTCTTGCATATTTTTGTTAACGGTATTTTCATATTCAGTAAAGAAATATTGTCTTGAATAGAGTTTCAGAACATGTGAGGGTCTTGTTTTTCATCATCCACTCGAAAAAAGCTTTCTGCTTATATATATCTGATAGTTTTCATTCTTTTCAATGAAAGAAAATATTTTTAAAATTCACAATTTCTATTTCGTAGCAAGGCAGAAAAGTTCTTCTCTCAATTTCGATCTTTTTGGAAATATGAAAAGTAATTATTATTCAGATGTCACCACTTTGAAACTCACCAAGATTGATCAAGTCTATAAATTTGAGCGGTACATTCAGTCATGATGGTAGATAGAGAAAATGGAACATCAACATTTCGATCTGAACATTCGATTCAGACTGAAAGTTACTTGAGTGAAAAATGGTGTAACCATCATTTATTGCTATATATACCATGATACAACATAGTTTAATTATTTTTTTTTATGTAAAAAATGTATTTGATATCTAAGCGCTAATTCTTTATATCTTTGAACGAATTGTCTCGAACTGTCAGAATTTTTTCGATATAACTGCGTTGTGTCGAAATAAGTTTTACTGTTTTTCTTTAGATATTTACTTTAAATTCCATCTTCAATCGACCATTCTACTCGAGATCTTTTGTATAAGCTTCCAAATAAAGGGAGTCAATTTTTTTTGAATGTGTTACAAAAGTAAATTTATTGGCAACTATTCTATGGTGTGTACTCTCCGTCGTTACCTATATGAAATGATTATTAGTTGTTGAAAAAAAATCTAGTTTTCAATAGTACTATCAAAGTTGACTGTTCTTCATTAAGTTGATGTATTTAATTATATCTATGGTGCGAAAAACTATGTAGTAAGATAGATGTCTCATGTTTATCCTCCGTCATAAACACTCTAACGATGATCTATGTTATATGAAAACGTTTCTTAATAAAGCTTGATCCAAACTACGGTTATATAATATTATTAGAGAGACTCAACTTTTGGAACATTTCCTAATATTGTAACGCGCTGAATCATTACTCTACTTAGTAACAACATACCTATAGTCAGAAGACGACGTTAAATGTAAATCCAGTTGTTCATTATTGCCAATTGGTATCAAAAGTGGGTGATCGTTAAGTAGTTCTATTGTTGTTGGCAGTGACTTATTCTTCACTTATTTTCGGTCAACAATGACTGTATTCATATCGATACAGTCTTTATCAAGTGGAAATCTATCGTCGTGGGATGCATCCCAATCATCATCAATGTCAGGCTTTCGATTCATGTACTGAAAAAAAAAACCCGCTGAATTTATTTATGATTTTTACCATTATTCAGAAGAATTTTTAAAATATTTATTGAATAGGACGATATTATTCCATCTGTCTGTGATGCAATAATAATTCATTATGGTGAAATTCCCTGATCACTATTTTAGTATATGTTAGAATATTCTGTCTTGTCATTTTTCTTATTTTGCGAATTTTTTTATTACTTTCATTGATATGTTTCAATACATCAATGCATTCATATACATACACTGATAATTTCATTGACTATTCGTTTTTTTTTCTTTGTCTTGTATATATATAGTTTCTGTTTATTCTTCTTTTTCTCATGTATCAAGATAAACTTGATATTCTCTATCTTTGATCTCGCTCTAACAGTATCTTGATAAGTAACACCATCAATACTATCTATATTATTATTTCAAATTATTTTTATCCTACTAAACTGAACATATATTCTCATATTTGTTTTCTGATTATAATGGCCTATCTTCACCGTATCCTTCATATTTTTCTGCATCTCCTCTATGGATATAAGATTTCCAATTTTTCCTCATAATAATGTCACACTTGGAATGCAAGAGAATATTTTCGTTCATTCTTCTTCTTATCGTTCGTCGTGCTATTACTTTATCATTCGCACGAGGATAGAAGAAAAAAAAGTTTTTCTCCATAGTTCCATCAGAAATGGTGACCATTATTTCATATGCTGAACAATAGAGAAAATAGATTTATTTTATAGTTAATTCAGAATTTAGCGATTCTTTTTCTTTCAATCTAAATAGATCGAAAAAGCAGGTTTTTTTAAATAGTTTGGCTAAAAATAAGTGTACCTGACGTAGAAAAAAATCACTTTTTTGATAATACGAATCTTATGAAACTAGTTAGGAAATGACAATAAATTTCCTTATGATCAAATGGATTTGTCTTATAGACAATGATTGCAACAGAAAAGACATACAGACTGATGATACAATAACGAGAAAGAAATATAAACGATTAACATTTAAATACCATGATACTGTTGATTAACTTAATCAGTTCTTGCTTTGCTGCAAAAATGTGTTAGAATATTGTTGCACTACTCTTCAATCATAGCTATGGCTGAGGATTTGTAGCTTAAAACACAGTAGAACTTTAAAATATAGAGATTGAATATAAAGATTCAAACAGAAAAATCTATGATATATTAAAATATAATATTTCGAAGAGTTCACAGAACAAACTATATAGATGCGACTCATTGAACAAATTGAATGAAGTAAATACTTCTTTATAGTGATGAACTCATCTTTAACTACATTGTCTGATGTTAGTCGTCCGACTATACATTATAGAAAAACATCTAAAATATAAAATATCCACTATTCCACAGGATGATGCAAATGGATTACAAAGTAATTCAATAAATAATGACTCATAAAATAAATCAGCTTTTATTAATTTGTATGAATTGTTACGCGAGAGTTTATCAGAGTCTACTATGAGTGGAAGCTGGAGTGGAGTACACCCACACACTTGTTAAAATGTTCGACGCTCATACATCCTGATAGATTGTTTAAATAAACCTCTTCTATAACATATAGAAATTTTCAATTATTTTGTAATCCATTTGCATCATCTTTTTTGGCAGATATCCCAAACGAATTAGACAGAAAGAGACATCTTACTTTTCGTTTAGTGTAGGAATGTATCATCATTGAGTCTAATACCTTTATTTTGCAAGAAAATTGTTTGTTAGGGATGTCACAGTGACAGTAAATCGACGATTCACCGTCCATCGGTGCACCGGAAGCATCAGTTTAGACGTGCGACGCTACTATACATAGAATGTTATGAGTTGGATCGAATAAGATCATAAGCAGTATAATCTGTGACTAGTGGAAGGGTGTTTTGTCTACTGTGGAACGCTTTACTAATTTATAACTTCGCCAGAGCAACATTGTATTGATGTGTTATTCTACCGATGCAGTGAGAGATTATATTTCTTCACTCCGCTAATTAATTCTGCTTATACTGACCAATAGAGATTTATTTGAATACACTGATAAGTTCAAAAACAATGAGAAAGTTAATTGATTATATAAAATAATCGTGACAACATGTGATTAGGCGAATAGCTAGATCAATAACATCAGTAAATGATGTAGCAACGAACAGGGAAGGTGAAGAGGAAAGTACTGTTATTGGTCAGTTATCTAGTAATAAGTAATGGAAACTTTGTGAGTTTATATTTTTCGGCCAGGAAAAGCCTATTGTAAGAAAATAAAGAATATGTATGAAGTTTGATCAATGGTGTTTGGGACCGATGAAAGTGAATCTGTATTGATGACTTGCAAAAACGTCGAATTCGAAAGATCTTCCTAAATTCGTATTCTTCGATCCTGGAAATGTTCTCTTGAACATTGTACGAAACTATAATTTACATAAGATAGATCCCTATTAACAAGAGATAAGCTCAAAAATTTTAAGAAAATACTTATAGATTCTGCTTCTTCGACCGCGAGAAC